ACTTAAGCAAATGGGGTCTGATTTTCCAAATCCACACGTAGGCACTACCATCATAAAAAAGACAATATTACTATTTTAAAAAATAACAAATATTTGGGGGACTATCTTTTGCATATCTTAATCAAAACCATTTGGAAAATATTTTGAAAATATTTTCCATTTTTTGTGCACTAACTTCAAATGCTAACTTCCCCCCAAAAAATCCCTCTTAAAATACGATTTTAGCCAAATATTTTAAACAGCATTATCTGATGAGATTCCATTTAACTAGCTTCCTATTACATACCACCAAAAATGAATATACTTTGCTTAGATATGCACTCCACACACATTTTATTACACATTTCCATACACAGCTGTGATCTGGAGCCTGATTAGCCTCTTCCATAAATTCATAATACATGCAACCAGATAAGAGTGACTGAAAGAATACACAGGAACTACATGATCAGCTGCAATAATTCTCAATATGCCCCAGTAACACTCAAGTATCACGGGAAAAAAAGTGTGTTCTGTAAATCCCAGAATATTTTCAGAATTTCTCTGCATAAATTTATTGCCTCTTGCAAGTTCCTATATCTTTCTTTCTGTTTTACAACAATGGTATATCTTTATCAATCACCATATAAATCACTGTGCTCCTGAGAGAGAAAAATTAGCCATAAAATTTGCATATGGAAAGATATTTTCAGCATGCTTCCCACAAAAAACACAGCTGTTTCTACGATAAAGAATACTTACAAATCACTTGCTTTAAGTCACCTAATTAATTTTACAAGTCCAGTGAAAATAACCTAAAACAATAAAAAACTTTTACTATGTCCATGTGTGTGTTGTGCTTTTCCAAAACAAGTATTTCAGCTTTTATCTCATGATGTAATTAATATTCCATTCCAAACTTGGTATTTTGGTTGCATCCTACAAAAAAAAAACACCTCATACAGCTTGAGAACTCAGAACTAATTTTTCCAAGATCCCTTTTCAATTCCTGTTTATTTTGAATACCCTGCAGAAAAACTTCAATTTTGAGAGCCTCTAGTGTAAATGGCTCGTTCCAGTTATAAATTATTTGCAGATGGCTTTGGAGGTACTATGATAAGAACACTGGTCACCAGCACAGACCCCTAACTATTTATACACCAAAATAATTGGAAACCTTTCTCACAAGACAGAAGTCCACTCTGCAGGATGCTGCACAGGGAGAGGTTATTTTTGCCTTGAAGAGCTTACACTCGGTGTAAGGCAGAAAGAGAACACTGACGTATGGACAGGATTATAAAGAAACTGAGACAGCAAGTTCTGAGCAGCAGACCCCACTTTTGCACACCAGCAGTCAACCTCAGCTTCCTCCCCGTGTCACCTGTGATTGACTAACCAGCTCTGCAGAAAAGCAAGGAAATAATCATGTTCCAGCCCAACAACATCCACCTGTGGCAACAGAACCTCCAGGAGGTGAAAAGCCACAGTCTTCAGACTTAACTGCAGAGCTCAAGCATCACTTCCCTCACAACAGAACAATGTCTGACTGTTAGCAATGTCTTATACCTCCTCCTGTTGTTATCTTAGAAGACCACGTTTATAATCTTGGCTGAAAAAAAGAATCACTGGGTGCCTGAAAATAGCAACTATCCTGAAAACAAAGCAACGTGGACCTGAAAGACTGAAAGGAGAGCTCTTGGCAATGCTGGATGTTTTCAAGAAATACCTGCCTCTTTCTAGAAACCAGATATCACACATTATTTCCATTATTTATTCCATTATTTTCACTACTTCCATTATTATTCATTACTTCCTTCAATGAATGCTGGGTAGCAAAAATAATCTAAATAATTTTATGGAGACTCAAAAACAAAATCTCCACAATTAAGTCTCAGCTAACTCAAGAAGATGTCAGACAAGATGTCTTTGGGGAAAATTAACTGCCTTTTTTTTTTTTAACACAAATTAACATAATGAGATTTGAAAAAAATCACCTGATACTAATTGTTTCTGATTAATCACTGAAATGCTGGAGAAAAGGGAAAGGTCTCATTCATTCTTTCTCACCTCAAGTTTGATCACCTATTATTACAGATACCTATGATTTACACCTATAATTTACATATACTGAAAAAAAAAAGCTTCCAGAACTATCATAAACCAAATAATACTAGTAGAGCTTATGGTATCTCCATTCTAGTCTATTCTAGATCGTATTTAATGCAAAATCATAGATGTCATCAGATTACATATAATCTGAGTAGGACACAATTTGCTTTTGTTCTAGTTGTAGATAAGAGATTTTATATGCAAGTGTTTGTTGGTGCTGGAGCACTGTCGTTTCCTACAGCTTTGCAAAGGAAAAAAAAAAAAGGGGGTGGGGGAAGCAGGTGAAAACTGGGAAAACATGCTTCCGGATGTCTAAAGACACTGATTCTGAAACTATGCTTGGTTCTTCAAGAGAACAGGAAAAAAAACTCAACTGCCCAGAGAACTGTAAAAACACCGGTTGGGTGTTTGCAAAGAACACCAGTGGACTGAAAAGATTAAAATGTAGTTTAATCAATACAGTAAACTTAAAGAGGAAATTACTTGCATGTGGATTTACTGCAACAGACTTTTCATTGAGAAGTGAGGTAGATCGGCACAAACTAATTTGTAGCCTTTGCTTCGAAGACAGGACTACTACAGGGACTTTGTGAAACGAGGCAATAAAAGAAGATTCAAAGATAAGTGGAAATATTATTGCTAAAACTCCTGACAAACAGACTCCCCAAAGGAGCCAGTCAACAAGAATATTCAGTAGGAGGGTACTAACATCTTTATCTCAGCTGTGACTCACTCTTAAGTAACATTTATTTTCTTAAGAACCCCTATAAGTAAAATGAAAACCCCATTCACTGACCATAACTACAGGGAGAACATCATCTTTCTAATTAGATTTTCTTTATATTGGCAACTCCTTGTATTAGGACACAACAAGAAATAGAGGCAAAAATCAGCTGTTTTATAACAAAGAATATAACTGTGTTAGAGCTGAGTAAAGGAAATTTTTATGTGTGTAGGAGAGAGGAAAGCAGAAAAACTAAATCCAAGATCAGAGCATTTCCTTCCCCACCCACAATGAAGTGTTTATGGACTTCCCTGTCATGACTACAACGTTAAAAATGCAAATTTATACGACGGCCCCAGTTGAGATCCATGTTAATACCAACTGGTTACCACTACTCACGTCAGTGAGAAACTGTCTCAATCTGTGCTCAAAATTTCACTTATTCCAGCAAAATTCAGTTGACACATTGCATTCTTCTGCAGAAAGTGTTGAAAATACACATATAAAAAGAAAAGTGTGAGTGCTGAACAGTTTCCAGTTTCGGTTATTCTGAACAGGTTAGCAGTATCATAAATGCTTCTGCTTGAGGTAAACACACTTGGACTCTCTTAGAGCAGTCATCAGTCGTTCACTACTAGCTTGGAAATCTGCAAAACCATGCATTCACAGACCTGAGAAAAGCCCACACCAATAATAAGCTATTTTACATTCATAAATATTTGAGTTACCAAAAACTCTTCAGGGGCAATAATAGTTACTCTCCATAGTTTCTTCTGCAAGTTTTGTTGCCACAAAAGTTGTTTGTTTGGTTTTTTTAATATATCAAAGACAGTTTAATGAACAGTCACTTCATCAGACCTCTTCTTATCCAAATAGAAGCTTACACAACTGGAAAAAATACTTTACCTACAGTGTCACAACTTCTATGTTCATTTAATGTGTGAAAATTCCACCATAGCTCTGAGATAGAAATCTGAACTTGAAGGTCCTTGTGTGTTTGACTGATTTAGGTGTCTTCAACAGTAGGACACATGCAAGAGCAATTTATATGCTAATGTGTATGTGCACTATTTGCATTCTCACTTCTTCCTCAAACATTGCCTTAAAATACAAGGCAACACAACAAGATTTGACTGCAAATTTTTGATCACTGAATCCATCTCAAAACTGCTGTATCATTTCACCACTGTTCGACAATGCTGTTTTGAAATGAAAACAAGAACTCTTTAAACTTTCTACTTACTCCTGTATTGTTTCAGTCTTTACAGCAAAACTACACACTGATAAGCCTATATTATAAGATTCTATGAAGCTAACATAAGCACTAAAATCACAGATGAAAGCATCTGAAAGGTGAAATTTATTTAAGCATTTACATTGTACAAGAAATCCTTTCGACTTAACACTGCATTTAAGGTCACTCTGACCAAAACCATGTCACTGTATCATTTCTTTCATGGAAGCACATAACAACATACCTAGACTGCACACAATGCAGATACATCAACACAGCAGCGTAGAGACTTGAGCTAACCCAGATAACCAAAAGCAAACTGCTCACAGTACCATACCCAAGTAAGGCAGCTCGTTAAAGCTCCACACCAACGAGGCAAAACCATTTCTGGTACCACAGAGCCATTTTATAACTACAGCACCTCTACAGTGCTCCTCGTGCAGCATAAGCATTCCCTAAGGGAACACCTCCAACCATGGAAATAGCTATCTCAGAACAAGGGACGACGATGATGATTTTTAAAACCTACATCCTACCTCTTGAACAAGGGGAAGAGAGCTCTACACCAACTCACGACATAACCACCCATGAGAGCTCCCCACTACTATGAGTAATTAACCCCAGGAATGCACCACTGCAATTCAGAAAGAGAAGCACAAAAGCAAGAGCGTATTCAAACACAACAGTTTTCAACAAATACTGCTTTATGTGGAATACAAATACTAGAATACAAATACTACTAGAACAACAAATGCTGCTTCATGGGGAATACAAATACTAGAATGCTATTAGTTTGAAACGCGGAGTCTTAATTTGAATTGCAAAACAAACCTTTAAAAGATGCAACTGACCCTTAAAGAGCACCCCTTTATCCCTCTGAACAAAAGTTATGCCCACAGTGCACAAATTTTTCTGCTGGACTGTTGGTGAGTCACAAGCGTTAATTCAACTCACCTGACCTGGCTGGGGGGATAAACAACTAAGAACCTCCTCCACCATCACTGGCACGTGCAATCTTCCCAAGTTATCGTTTTCGGTACTTCGAGGCAACTCTTCAGTTTCGCATTTCTGGACTGTTTGTTCCTTTAGCTCGCAGTCAGAAAGCTTTTTTGGCGTAGCGTGGATCCTCCTGGCCAAACCAGCCAGGCTTACCGAATTCAGTCTCAAGCCGTGCAGAAACAAACACTTGTGAACTTGGCAGAGGTACCGAGACAACATTTTGAAATTGATCAGCCTAGAAGAACAGCAGATGCTGGGAATTACTCTGAAACAAATATTTGAAACAGTGCACCTGTTTGAAAAAACAAAGTGGAACTACTATAGGTAAAGCAATAAATACACATTCCAACATGGGCAGTTTTACAGGTATGTCATGTCAGCAAAATATGTTCTCAGAATTTTCAGTGTTATCTACCAATCAGTCATATTCAAGCAACCAGTAGATTATTTTCACTATCAAATTTTCATTTGCCTGGATTTACCTTGCCAGAGGCCTCAGATATTTTGCCTGCATAGATAAGAACATGATGAGTAATCACCTCAGGAAAGTTATTCTCAATAAATTAAGCCTCAGCTGGGCAGTATTTCCACCTACCTTAAATTTGTTAGTGCATATCACTTTAACAATGCCCCTACAGCAAACACACACATCACCATGGGATGCTGTGCTGGTTTTGGCTGGGGCAGAGTTAATTTTCTTCCCAGGGGCTGTGCTTTGGATTTGTGCTGAACACAGCAGGGAAGAGACACAGCTGGTGCAGACGACCCAAACTGGCCAAGGGGATACTCCAGACCATATGACATCATGCTGAATTTATAAAGGGGGGGGGAGAGGAGGAAGATGGGTTTGAAGTGATGCTCTGTCTCCTCTGCTGTGCGAGAAGGGGCGCAGCTCTCCTGGAGAGGGCTGAGCACCTGCCTGCCCTTGGTGAACGGATTCCTCGCTTTGCTTCGCTTATGCGCACAGCCTTCCCTTTCCCTATCAAACCGCCTTTATCCCGACCCACGAGTTACTCAGTTTCCACCCTTCCCCCCTCTCCCCGATCCCGCGGGGTGCGCACCACCACCATCCTCCTCCTCATCCTCCTCCTCCTCCTCCCGACCCGCGGGCGGCGAGCCCAGCCTGCTCCCGCCGGGGAGGAGACACACTCCGCCTGCAAGCAGCCCCGTTCCATCAACCAGACCAAGAGGACTCCGTTTCTCAGAAGCGAGCACAGAGCGTAGTTTTATTACGGCCCGAAGCGGCGCAGCTGGAGGCGGAGCGGGGCTCGCACCGAGCGAGGAGCGTGAAGGCAGAGGCGGCCGGAAAGCGCCAGCAACCCGCTCCCCGCCCGGGCCGGGGGACACGGGGAGCGGGGAGGACACAGGGAGCGAGGGGGAACACACGGAGTGAGCGGCCCCGCCGTCGCTGGCCCTGTCGGTGGCCCCGGCGCTCTCCCCGCTCGCCCGGCCCGGCCCGCAACCCTCCCCTGGGCCCGCGCGCACGCACTTACCGCGAGCGCCGTCGCCGTGCTGACGTCACGGGCGCGGGCGGCCAATGAGGAGGCGCGGAGGGCGGCCGGCCGGGGTTTGAATCGGGCGGGCGCGGCGGTTGGAGCGGCCCCGGCGGTGAGTGCCGGGCACGGGCACGGGCTGGAGGAGAGTGCTGGGCACGGGCACGGGCTGGAGGAGGGCAGCGGTACCGGGGGTGAGTGCCGGGCATGGGTACGGGCTGGAGGAGAGTGCTGGGCATGGGCACGGGCTGGAGGAGGGCAGCGGTACCGGGGGTGAGTGCCGGGCACGGGCACGGGCTGGAGGAGAGTGCTGGGCACGGGCACGGGCTGGAGGAGGGCACCGGGGCCGGGGGTGAGTGCCGGGCACGGGCAGCGAGGCTGGGGCCGAGGCAGCGGGGCCGGGGCCGAGCACGGGTGGTGAGAGTGCCGGTGCCAGGCGCGGTCCGCGGGCGAGTCCCGGCGCGCTGTCCCCCCGCGGGCCGGTCCCGGTCCCGCCGCCGTGCCCCGAGCAGCGCTGTGTGCGCTGTGTGCGGTGCCGAGGGGAGCCCCCCCAGCTCCCCCCGCCCGAGCAGCGCTGTGTGCGGTGTGTGCGGTGCCGAGGGGAGCCCCCCCAGCTCCCCCGCCCCGGCTGCTCCCTCGCTCCGCGGCCGTGTCTCGGTTATGGGCTCGCCCTGGAGCGGCAAAAGCCGTCCCCGAGAGCTTTCAGCGTGTCCGCTCTTAGGGGAACGAGCCGGCGAGGATGGGCCATTTTAAAGGGAATTCCGGGTTGTTATCGGCCGCTGTATCCCGTGCAGGCGGCGTTAACGCAAATCCCGCTGTAACTCCCTTTAAAACCCACGTGCAGCGTGAGTGAATCAATAACCCGGCGAAAGCAGCGCAGGCGGCTGCTCTGCCTTCTGCTGAAGGGCAAGAAAACCACCCGCGTTAGTCTGCAGGAACGTGGAAGTTCATCTGCAAGCTTGCTCTGACATAAAGGACGTTTTAAATTGTTGAAATGAACTTAGGAATTTACGGGGGTAGTGCTATCTGGGTTTCTTGCAGCTGCGCTGGATTAAATCATCTTTTCAGGCCAGTTCCAGCGCTCCCCGAGTTGCGCTGCCATTGTAAGCAGCCCATTGTAGCTCACTGGCAAACGATGGGTGGGTCGAGCAGAGGTGCCGAGTGTTAGTCCTTATGAAATGTGTGAACTACCCGAAAGGTTTTATCCGAAATGTAATGCCTTTTCACCCCATGTTGTCAATTGCAGAGGAGGTTCAGCTGTGCAGCCTGAAAGAGCCTGGGGAGGCGAAGCTGGGGGCCAGAAGGGATGAGTCCCGCTAAGGAAGAAGATGTTTGCAATCACGTGAAAGTGGTGGTCCGTGTCCGCCCGGAGACCCAAAAGGAAAAACAGGAGAACTTTAGCAGGGTTGTCCACGTTATTGACCAGCATGTGTTGGTCTTCGACCCAAAGGAGGAAGAAGTTAGTTTCTTTAACGGGAAGAGACTGACCCACAGGGATATCAACAAAAGGCAAAGGAAAGATCTTAAATTTATGTTCGACGCTATTTTTGATGAAATGTCATCCCAGCTGGAAGTTTTTGAGCATACTACCAAAACTCTGATTGAGGGCTTTTTAAACGGATATAACTGCACAGGTAACTTTGCTATTTATTTTCTTTCATTAAAAAAAACTTAAAAGTTTCTACCGTTGCGTGCAGCTGCTGCAAGGGCATTAAAAAAAACCTGAGATAGAAGTGAAAGCATTGTGTTTTAATTAATATGTATGAGAGGCTGGCTTTTCAGCATATGGAAGTTAGGATAGCTCTACTATTTTGAAAGTAATTTTGTGTTAGGGTTATATAAGACTTCGGAATTTTATCTGAAATACGTGTGCTAATGACATAATAACTCCTCTGCAGTTATTCAAGCAGAAGCAGTTGTGTCACTGAAAGTGTGGTACCCGGCTTTATGAACTCTTAAAGAACTTGGGCTGTTTTAACTGGCAGATGGAACGTGATGAGGATATTAAATGTCTTTTAGCAATAAGTTGATGGTGTAGGGTTATGAGAGGAAGTATGTAATATTTTCGTGTAAATTTTGAACTGAAAATTCAAAAATGTTACTTTCAAATAGCTCTCTGATTACAACTGTAAAAGGTAAAGTCTAAGTAAGAAACTTGATCAGTTTATGGAAACAGCTGTTCGAAATGACAGATCTGTGAATGTTCATTTGACTTACGTATTTCTGATCAGCTTTCTGGTATAAACTGCACATTCTTGCTTTGGTTTTCTTGTGTCAATTCAGTGCTTGCATATGGTGCAACGGGAGCTGGAAAGACTCACACGATGTTGGGTTCCCCCGAAGATCCTGGAGTGATGTACTTAACCATGATGACGCTCTATAACCGCATGGATCAAATAAAAGAAGATAAAATATGTGACGTTGCTGTCTCTTATTTGGAGGTGAGTTCCTGCATTTGATATGCTGCTTTTTATAATTCATATTTAATACATAAATACAAGCTGGTTTCTCCTTTCCCTGGTCCTTTGTGGGGCTTGACAAAACGCATCCTTACAGGAGTGGAGCTGAGCTGTGCTCTGCCAAATTTGCTGTTCAAAGGCACCTGTCACTATTTTATAGAAGGCTGCCCAACAAGAACAATCACTTCTAATATATTCACTGAACATTCTCATAATTTGTGTCTTGCTGATCAATTGCATCCCTCTGAACATCTGTTGTTGTGTACAGGAAAATACCAGGGTTGTATCTCAGGACTTCACAGTAACATCCTATAAGTGCTGTGAAACTGTACAACAAAATGATGTTCTGCTTTTACAAGTCAGTGTCTTGGCACTGCTTTTGAGTGGTAGCAGTAAAATTGTTATTTTCTAGCTCCCTCAAATTCTTAATGGAAGAATAGTTGATGTTTTGGGAGGGGGAGAAGGAGAAGAGAAAAAAGGAAAATAAATGCTTTGGACTCATGCTTGTTGCAAAACCTTTTTTTTTTTTTAATGAGGAATAAAAGTTATTTATGAGAAAAAAATTATGTATCTTAATGGCTTAAAAGAAATCATGCACGTTGAATATTTTAAGCTCAGTATAAGAAAGCTGTTTGGAAAAAAATCTACAGCATGAATTTGTTGCTTTCTCTTAAAGAAATACTAAAAAAGACTAACGATTTCTGTTTATTTAAGTTTAATTCAGTCAAGTACGGGAGGATGATGTTAATAAAATACTTTAAATTCTCTTTCAAAGATTTACAACGAACAGATACGTGATCTGCTGGTCAACTCTGGACCTCTGGCTGTTCGTGAAGATGCCCAGCAAGGGGTGATAGTTCAAGGTCTGACATTGCATCAGGTATGGAAGCACATACAGAAACTCACAACGTGCTTCAGAAATTTGAGAAAGTTCCCATAGTTCTGTGAGAGCTGTATGGAACTTGGTAATTTCCTAGGGGGCTTTTTTCTGGCCAGTAACTTGCAAACTTAACTATTGCTTTACTGTCCTGGAAAAGCAGTTTAACATGGCACTTCTCAAACAGACTTATTATGAAAACAGAAGCAACCCTGAGGCTTCACGTTGGTGTAGAACACTCCAAGATGGCAATGAAGGCAAAGTCAGTTTTGCAATCTGAGAGTCAATTCTTGTGGACCTAATTTTTTTTTGGTAGACTTTTAGCGTATGTTACGTGCTATGTAGCTCGCAGATTTTGTGTTTGTGGAATGAATTGACAGGAAACAGCGTTCTTAGTTTGGTTTGCTCTGTGATCATCATGCTTCCAAAACTTGGAGTCTGGCGAGGGAGGGGAAAAAAATTTAGTATATCACTGTTTAATGCATTAGTACAAGAAGAATTGAGTCAGACACTCTTAAATGAAGCTTCTTCTAGCTATGGAGGACCTTTTCAGATTTGTTTAAATTCTTTAGTAAAGATATTCTCTGACCTAAATTTCTGCAGTTAAGTGCTTGCTTTTCATACATTACTGCTTTTTAGTGGAGAATATTTGTTTGAAGTGCCTCAATTTCAAAACAGGAAATTTTCTCTTATTTCTAGGTAGATAAAACATTAAGTTCCTTTTTTTTTTTTTTAAGTGAAGGTGAATGTTAATGTATTGTAGAATCTCCTATAGTTGATAGAAAAGGAAAACAAGTGTATTTATCTTGTTCTGTCTTGTTATTAAAGCCTAAATCAGCGGAGGAAATCCTTCAGATGTTGGATTATGGAAATAAAAATAGAACTCAGCATCCCACAGATGTGAATGCCTCTTCTTCCCGGTCCCATGCTGTCTTTCAGGTAAGCATTTCTGTAGGAAAAATAATTTACAGAATGCAGTTTTCATGTCTGACTATAAACTGAGAGTCTCAAGTAGTACTTTCTTACTGTACTTATCTTGGTTAATGTTAATTTTTACACTACAGTGATTTCTTAATGTTCTGGTATGTACCAAGCTTTAGAAAATGAATTGATGATTCTTAGTTTCCATAAATGAGTTTTTGAATGAGTTGTATAAATCTACTAGAACTTAAGACTTCTCCAAAGATTATTGCTGTGTG